GATTATGCTTTGATTGTCTTCTTCTCTTTACTACACATGATATTGTCGATAAGTATGATGGAAAACTAGGATATTTTGTGTGATATGTGCAACAATACAAGTAAGCATTCTCACAACACACAAGTTGGTGATATGACTCTTGACTCTTATCATCTATATAATGATAAAGAGATTGTGTTTCTTATGAGACGAGATTACCTATGTATCAGGGTTTGTGGATTCAGAGCTTTTCATCTCATTACTTTAGAGCATTGGCTAAGATTCAGTGCCATGATTGACACTCAGGGCTGATAGTATGCAGTCTGCTGTGCTGACTAAATTAAGGCAATGTGATCAGTTGCAATAGTTTTGGTCATAAGAGACTGACTGAGGCCAGGACATTTGAAAGGTTCTCAACAGGATGATCACTTGTCAGTTGGCAAAGTCGTCTAATGTACTTAACTCGTTTCATGATGTGATCGTTTTTGGTAACCAGCATACATAGACACTGATAATAGAAGATAAAAAATCAGTACTGTTTGATGAATGTTATCAAAGTCTACACAGACCGATGCATGGTTCAGCTTGACAGACGTTAATCTCTTTCTGACCTAAACCTTCATCAGATAGCAGTGTGCTATTGGATAGACGGTGACTAGGCATAAGCAACACATGTATGTATCAGTCATCTGAGTAGATGGAGGTTCACAATTTCATCAAATGAATTTCTCCCTCTATCCAAAACTCTGAGCATAACATATTGTATAAATACAGTAAAGAATGTGAGAAATTATCTATGGTTTCGAACTCACTGAAAAGGTGTAGATATCCAGTAGAATATCAAACTTCTGAAGTAGCAGACTTTGACTTTCATCAACAGACTGAAATGTTTTCCAAGTGATATTCATCACAGAGTGAGATAAGTGAGATAACCCTTGAAAACGTAACAGCACTGGACAGCTGTCCCATCCTAGTAGGGAACTGCGCGATTGTGTAAAACCTTAACCAGGATCTTAACATCATGCAGCTAATCCGTTAGCATTCTAACCTTGATTCGAAATCTAATGGTCCAGATTTCTTTATTTCTGTAAATTCACGATATTGTGTAAACAGTATCCAATTCCATCAGCGGGTGACCTGCTTAGCCTCAAAGAGTATTTCTGATAGAGTAGAGTGGACATTCCATTAGGAAGTCTCGTACCAGAAAGAAAGAAATATCCAGTACTCTCAGGTGTTCACTACTTCTCGAAATCCCATTGGATACGGATACTTGAATACAATATTCAGAGTGAATAAACTATGCCTAGTAGTAAATGAGCACATAACAATGACTAAAATCACATGTCAGCTGACTTGAGGGTCTTGTTGTCTGCTTCCCAACCAAATTAATCCACTAAAACAAAGGTTGGAACCTACTGTTAAGTACAGCTTCGAAGCTTCGAATCCTGTAAGTTTTCATCAAAAACTAGAATGATACAGAAACATACTTTAAAATGATTAGAAATGAAATTTGTGGAAATTAAACATGAAGAGACAAATGTAAATCTCTTTGATTGAAACACAAACGATGCGAGTGAAACTCACTTGAAAACTAGTTTTTCCTAATTAGTGCTTACCAAATGGAATGAATCTAGTGTCCATAGGTGATTAGCTTCAACAGGTGGTTCCCGAAGTTTCAGTGATAAGTCATGACCAATAGAGTGAGCCAGATGGAACATAAGGACAGTTACTGAATGATGACATTAGATGCAGGTCACAGTGTATCGTGAATCGACAGATGTAGGAAATATGAACCGTTGGATTCTGATCCAGTGACTCAGTACTAACCTACTTGCCACCGAGCTGAAAGGTGTTGGATTCGATACGTGGCGGTGTGCAGTCATGAGTCCTCACAGGTATCCAGTGCTCCTAGGCTTCTAATGGTTCTCTAAGTGATGTCATTCCTTGATCAATACAAACCTAAACTAGTGATCTGATGTAATATGAAAAACATCAGTCTTATTCCGTTTTTCCACTATTATATACAACATAAATCACTTGTGTATATAATATTGAACAGATGATATATTCAACAAATTATCTTATCTCCCCTAAACATTCATAATCATATCAACTGATTCAACTTCTTTAATTAGCATCTGGCATAGTTTAGTTGATTTCTGAGAGATATGTCAATTCAAAAAACCCTCACATTTCGACGTTGTGTGAATATTTAAACAAAACTTCACGAGAAAACATACTGAAATATTCTACATTATGAAATGTTGAATATGCTTAATTTACTACTATTATAGGAAATATTCCTTTATCTAAAAACAAACAGTAATCAATCATAATTATATAGATTTTATATGAAATTAAAACAAATGCCTTACATATATTAGAGAATCTGTAAACTGAGCTAAGTATACATTCCATATCATTGATGGAAAGTCATGTGTAGAAGAAACCCACAAGAATATACCGGAGAAGCATAGCTCACTTACCATATGATAGTTGGTACACAACATCACTCAGTGTCATATACTCCATGATGATTAAAAATATCATCGAGTTTTTATATCAAGTAAGAATTTGTAGTCAAATGGATATGATGAACTTTTACACTAATGAGCCATCCACACTTTTCAAAATACTGATCATATTGGATAGAATGTAGAAGGAATATCTTTGCCAAACAAACTATAGTGTTGATTATTCGATAAACATGAAATATATGTGATGGGAATGTAGAAGTTAAAAACATGGGCATTGTGATCGATTTCTTCGCTCACATTGTTTGTTTTACTAAATGTCTAAATGGGAATTTTCGCATTACTGAAATCCCATTTTAGTTTGTTTCTTAAAAATGTCACACACAGTGAAGGAGGAACAGTATCACTTACTAGATAATGATGTTTAGGACATATTTACTGTCTATATTCATATCAAGTAACTAACTCCACAACTTGAAGACAGAGTTTATATTATTCCCAATTTTCTCTCCTTCTCTGTGATGACAAGGCTAGTAGAATCTTCCATCTACCTCCGACAGGCACAGAATCATTCCTGTCACTGAATGTATTTGGTGTTGATTCGATAAACAAAGATTCAGTCGGTTATCAGTCTCTCGATCCCTCCAAACAACTAGGTTATGCTGTCACTGTATCCCACCCTACTGTGTAATTGCGTACACAGCTATAGCTAAGCTTTTCTCTAAATTTCTTATCCTATTAGGATCTACTAATCTTCATTTGGATAAGCTTTTGTGCTTCGTCATTCTAATCGACACTGGATGACTACTTTCATCTATGTTATTGACCTCGCAAACATTGCAAGGGATTTGTTATACCAGATTAATTTGCCTAATTGTATCGATAGAATATTTTAACCTACAAAGCTTGTTTCTAAGTGAGTTTGTTACTTTGAATACTAGCCACTGTAATCCCAGCCAGTCAGCTTCATTGAGAATTCTTCCGAATGCTTCTGAGGTGCCTCCTGTCATCACAGAGAGAAAATTAGGGATATATAAACTCTGTCTCGAAATGGTGAAGTTAGTTACCTGATATGAATATTGACAATAATATATGTCCGATACGGTTTCACTGTGTGACATTTCCAACAAATAAACTAAAATGGAAGTGATAGGAATTATTCAAGGTATTCGGAAAACTCTACTATCCATAAGACTGACTAACTAAATCAACGTAGAATCTCACACACACGTGTGTTGGGTCAAGTTGGTGCACTGCACACTAGTGCACAAAGAAGAATTGGAGAGAAAAGGAGTGACATCAAAGTAGACAAAGTTGTGTGAACAGAGTGAAGTGTGTAGTGTAGTGGAAATATTCCAGCTTGACACGAAGCTCAATACTCTCTCATCTGATTGGCACCGGCCACCGAATTAACATTCATAATGCCTTTAAAGTTATTTATCACATTCCTTCTCACCTTACCCATGCTCTACGAGTTTGTCTTTCACATACAGCAGAAGCCATACGAATCCATCTACACAAGCCAAGTCTGTGTGTTCAGAAGAGATTCGTACAGTCTCTTTCTTTGCCTTGGCCATCTGTATAGCTCATTTATTACAACAAGACTCTTCATTTCACCCACCCCACAATTCACTATAACTAATATTTTAATAGCTCCATTATTAATTATTATTATTATTATTATTATTACAGACTTAACCATCTTTCTCTCCCCCTACTGTCTCTAATTACCGTCAACAATTTACCATTTTACGTAACAGTCCATTTTTGCTCTTTAGTTGTCATTATATAAAATATCAATTATGTAAGTACCTGTTCACAAAATCTTTCTACGATAATTAATCTTTACTTTAGTTAACTGTCTTAATTACCTGCTCAATTATCACCTTCTTGATACTTTGAGATTGATAACCTTTCATTGAACAACTCTTACCACTAGATTGGTATGCAATTCTACGTTTGAAAATGCTACATATATTAGTGTAGAGCCATTGATGAGGAACTAATTGAAAAGAAACTTTTAAATATCTGCTAAGCCATATTGATGGTCATAGTGATAAGCAAAACTATACAGTGTAACTGGTAAGAAGTGGGAGCCCCCTAGGGAATTTCGACACTAGAAGTTAGGCATATTCAGCTGACGTGTCCTAAAAAGAGGTGAAACGCTTGACCTGGATGTCATTACAGCCCACTGCCCAGCATTACTATGAATCAAATATGAATTATATACTTATTACCACTCAAGTGATTATCTAGACAATCATATGAGTTTTGTATATATCTGAAATCAGTTTTACTAGATGGAATTTCTCACAGAATACTTTTTATTCATTCATGTAATGAAGAGGTTGTTGGCTTTTAATCAAAGAGAATAATTTAAACTTATTTCTTTTCAAGGATTCAAGGATCCCTACACACTGACTATTTGAAACAATTGATCCCTTTAATAAATTTCGATAACGCTATTAGAAGACGAAGATTATCTGAAAAATGTGATGTATTTGCACAATACACATTTCGAACAATCTGATCCTTCACACATTTACTTGTCAAGTCAATTCATATATATATGAAAATTAAAGGTCAAATATAGTGAATATGAAAAGGTTGTGACACTAGTCTTGGTAACATAATCAGATAACGGTTACCAAGGTAAATTAAGTGAAACAATAAATTGTTTTTGTACACACAGCGGGGGATTAAGTTTACGAATGGCTAACGCTTCGGCAAACTTCAGTATACGCCCCTGATTATTCCTGTATATTATCTTAAACGCTGTTTTCGTATTAACCTTGTGATTCATTTCAATAATATGTTTTGCTATAGATGACGATGGATGTCTGTCACCTGCACTTATCAAAGTTTGTGTGTTAAACTGTTTTTCTAGCCATTTGGGGATGTGTTCACCCACCCTAGTCTGCATTGAACGATTACTCCTCCCTATGTATGTGTGCCCACACACACATACATGTAAATTGGTAAACACAGTAGGATGTGATGTAATCATTTGTGCGAGGTTGAGGTTTGTGGTGAAGCAGGTGTTGTGTTGTCTCAACAATGATAAGCTGAGCTGCATAGTATGTTTTACTGATGGTAACAGATTTTAATCTCTGCTTCAATATCATACTACTTGTTTCCCCTCTATATGGTTCTTTAAGAAATATGCTTTTCTTCGGGACCGAGGAAACTATAGGCTTTGGGGTCAACTGCTTTTTACAATGGTTGACAAACTGTAATGGATAACCGTTTTCCACTAGAGTGTCTGTCAGAAATTTATTCTCATCATCCATCGTATCAGATGTACAAATACGTTGGATTCTATTGAACAAACATCTCACCAAGCCTCTCTTATATTTCATCGGACAAAAACTATGAAAATTCAAATATTGTTTAAAATATGTATACAGACATTATAATTGACTCAAGTTGCAAGTAACTTGTACCAAATTGTAATTGGTTTTAATGGTCGTCATAGTAACCACTGAAACAACCAATCAGACTTGTATATTTTGTCGTAAAAAAAAACTACTTTTTTCTCCTATTGAATACATAAACCTTATTTGTTAAGTTGGTAGAATGGCCTTGAAAATTATTTATACCTTTAAAATAATCAAAAATTCATTTTTCCCGCCTATATTCTGTTCAACGTTATCATTTAGATCAGACATTACTAATAACTCTATTGAAAGAATGAAGTATTTTGAATAAATATTTAATGCCAACAATGTAGCTTATTGGACACTTTTACTCTATCTAGAAATCAATATTTAAAGTCAATATTGATCCTTGTTTTACTTAAAGCCATTTATTGCACTTGTCATAACATGAATCTATCAAATATGAGTAAGATTGTCTTAAATTGTCAGAAATTCTTGTTTTCACTCGAAGTCATTTTAGAATACTTATATGGTAATCATTTTTCAATCAAGTTAAAATCAACTATTATATATCTTATCAGATGGTTTATGAAGGAAACTATAAGTCATCATACCTAATCTTGATATATTTCAACAGATTCCATTACTGTTGAGTACATTTAAGACAACTAAGCAGAATATGATTTAGCTGAAACTTCAAAGGGATTGATTTCCTCTCAAGGATTCATTCTAACCTGTGTCATCTTGTACTACACTCATACATGTTACTATTGACCTATCCAGAGTAATATCGACTTCCTTAAGAACTAGACTATTAGTATTTGTCCCTTGCGTTCCTAGTGGAACATACCGTTTCGGTTGCACGTCTCCATTACACCCTCTTCTCTTTAGTCTCTTCAACCTGGCTCCACCACTGCCCAAAAGCTCTCATTTCTTCCTCACACCATCTCCTCCATGTCAGCCTCACCTCCGACGCCCAACTGGTCGTTTCCCCTTCGGATTCCACTCAAGCAACTGGCCTGACGCGTGATGTCACCATTCGGTCTTTTCAATATACGCTCAATCCATCTACACTTCCTTCTCTGCATATTTGTTGAAAAAAAAGTTCTCACCTCGTTGGTTGGTTCATTGCCAAACAGCCACAGTGAGTTCCTTGTTGCTGATTCTCATTATTCTGACCATCTGAGCTTCAGTAACGAGCCAGAGTAGGTAGCTGTTGATGAATGTGGGCAATTTGTTGGAAATGCTTTTCGTGACACGCCAAGTCTCTGAACCATATAGAACTAGACTAGATACATGAATAATTTACCGAAGGGTAACCTATTTTACGTTGTCTACTTTTATCATTATAACATCATTAATCTTGAATGTCGACTGAATTTTATTAGTTGGCTCTAAAAGGAAATCATTCCTGTTGAGTTTTCAGATATACTTTGTTGAAGAGTGTCAGCGAGATAGCAACCAAAATCGTACATAGCTACCTTCAGGCTAGCTCCAACTAACTAACATCTATCAGACTGCACTTCTATGTTGGTTTTCCTCGTTTGGATTCCATATTGTAAGGTTTTATTATTATTATTAGTCCCTTGGGTTCCTAGTGGAACATAGGGCTTCAGTAGCACGCCTCCAGTGACCTCTGTTCTCTGAGATCTTTTGAACCTGGTTCCACGACAGCCCACAAGCTCTCATTTCCTCCTCGCACGACCTCCTCCATGTCACCCTCGCCACTGACGTCCAACTCGTCGCTTCCCATGGGGATTCCACTCGAGCAACTGGCCTGACGCGTGATGTCCTCCGTCGGCCTTCTCAGTGCATGGCCAATCCATCTCCACTTCTTCCTGCATATTTGTTGCGTGATAGGTTCTTGGTTGGTTCGTTCCCAGAGTTCCTTGTTGCTTATTCTCACTATTCTGGCCATCTGATCTTCAGCAGCGAGCGTAAGCAGTTGTTGATGAATGTCTGTAGTTTATTGGAAATGCCTTTCGTGACGCGCCAAGTCTCTGAGCCATAAAAGAGCACTGACTTGACTGGGTTGGTGTTGAAAATCCGTATCTTGTTCCACATGCTGAGTGCAGAAGATCTCCACACTGGTTTCAGGCTAATGAACGCCTGTCTTGCTTTTCCGATTCTGACTTTGACGTCCTCGTCCGTCCCGCCTGTAGTTGAAACAGTGCTTCCTAGATAAGTGAAGGAGGTTGCTTCCTTCAAGTTTCTCCCGTTGACGGTGATTGGAGTTTGTTGTTGTTGTTGATGGTGGTGGTGCGGTATCTTCATCACTTCTGTCTTCTCTATATTCACTGAAGTCCCGTCTTCGCTGCCTCTTCTATCAACTTGTTAGTTTTTGCCTGCAGATCTTCAAGTTTGTGTGACATTAGGCATAAGTCATCGGCGAAATCCAAGTCTTCTAGGTTCTTTTCCGTCGTCCAGTGTATCCCCCTCTTCTCGCTGCCTACTGTTTGCTGCATGATCCAGTCCACCACAATAAGGAATATCATGGGGGATAGTAGGCAACCTTGTTATTTTCTGCACTAGTGGAAACATAATATGAGTGGTGTCAGGACAAGGCAAAGAGTTGTAAGCATGACACTTAACTTGTTGATAGGGTAGTGAAACTTCACCAATGTTGAACTTGCTGAGCAACCGTCGACTTCGGTATTCAATTCTAGCAAAATTGGACTGAGTTAAAAGGAAGCTGAAGATAGCCATATAACGACTTGGCATTAATCCATGTAATCTCTGACTGCTGATTCCAGCCCTGACTATGTTTCCCATGACCATAAGAAAAGGCCTTCAACAGTGCTAACGAGAAGTTATTTGGAAACTACTTCGATGCCACGAAGTACCACAAACCTGTATCAACCTCATTCAACAACCATATGACGCTGCCATATGCCAAGTGATTCACAACGGAAAGCTCAGTGATATGTTTGAAGTGAAGACAGGAGTAGGACAAGGTTGCCGCCCATGATCTTCCTGATTGTGGTGGGCTGGGTCATGCAAAAAACTGTGAGGAGCGAGAAGAGAGGCATACATAATTTGACCAAGAAAAAGACTATACAAGATTTGAAGTTCGCAGATGATGATTTGTGTCTAGTGTCTCACAAACATGAGGATCTACAGGCAATAACTAACAAATTAACAGAGCAGGCAACAAAAACGGGATAGGGACTTCAGGTTAACATAGAGAAGACAGACGTGATGAAGATACTCAATCAACAACAGCATCAATAACAATAGGCACCAATCACCACTAACGAGAGAAACTTGAGGGAAGTAGTCTCTCTCAACTACACCCAACTGGATGGACAGCATCGTTTCAACTACACGCACAGGTGGTGGCACACATGAGAACGTCAAAGCAGCCAGCATCCGAAAGACAACAAGACAGGTTTTCTTCAGCCTGAAATCAGTGTGGAGATCTACTGTACTCAACTCAGCATAAAGCATGAACAACATCCAGATTTTCAACAGTAATATCAGTCATTTGAGTCAGTGCTTCTATGTGATGGTTGAGAGACTTGACGCGTCACGAAAGGGATTTTCAACAAACTACAGACATTGATCAACAGATGCTGCATACGCTCACTCGATGCTGAAGATCCAATGGATGGCCGAAATAGTGACAATAAGCAACATACACCGAGAAGGCCGACTATGGACATCATACATCAGGCCAGTCGGTCGAGTGGAATTGGAAGGTGAAACGGCGATTTGAGCGTCCGAGGTGAGGCAGAAGTGAAAGGTGATGAGCAGTGGTGGAGCGAGATTCAAAAGACTGGAGAGAAGAGAATGGAATGCAGACGTGCTACAGAAGCCGCGTATGTTCTACTAAGAATTCAAGGGGCAAACAGTAATAATGACGATATTTTAGTAAGATTCTACCGAAATTGCATCACTCTTCAATATGCTTTAAGTATATATTTGTCTCCACTGTTTCAGAGATTAGTTTTATAGCATATATAAATTAGAGAAATTATGTTTCAGTATTTACTATAATTCAAATAAATTCTGACATATGATGTGATTGTTCTCATAATTATCAATGTGTGAATATTTATAATTGTTTACTAATTATATGTAGCGCAGTTATACAGTATTATCAAGTAGATAATACTTTATCACAATGTAACATATATATCAAATAAACAATTCGAATATGGAATTACATTCTACCACAGTGCCCAACTTTTACACTGATAATAATGTGAATAATTAGTTAAAATTCATTTGTTTTTATACTCCTGGTGAAACTAGGCTATTCATTTTATAGTAAAAGGGTTTTTATATGATACCATCGTTGATTGGACTGAGTCGTAAATAGGAAGAAATGAGCACCTTGAGATTCTACTGCTAGCCACTATCTATCATTAACATTCATTCAATACATTGATAGCATGAAAAGTATTACAAATAAAAAAACCCGAAAACAAAGTTAAATAATTTGTATCTTTTAACAGAGAAAGTGGAATCTTATGAAATATTTTACAAGTAATAAAAGAAACAACTGAACAATAAGTGACTCTTGATCTCTAGTGGCCTGATGGACAACCCTTTGACGTTTGAAGCAAAGCGTTTCAGTCCCTGTTGGAACAAGATTACTCTGACTGACTTACAGGTACATTCAGTTAATGAGTTCAAGATAAGAGGAAATAGGGCATCCTGGATTTTGCTGCTAGTCACAAAGATGAATATTAAAGTCTTATCAATTCATTGTCTTCAAGAATATGAGAGTATGATGAAGTAAAGAACCTGCTAGAAAAATGTCTACTGACTGAATTTTACAAATAAAAATTTAAGACTGAAAGACAGAT